TACAGGTCTGTGAATTGCCAGGTTTACACACTTCACAGCACTCACCATAGCACATACCCTCCCCAATGTCCATAACCCCATCACCCTCTCCCTAAGGATCCAAGTTGTTTTTTTTTAAAGGATTGAAATGTTACCACAAAACTGACCTTCATTCAAAAGTAATCTTGCATTTAATAAGTGTCCAATTATTAAGTATATCTTGTAATGTAACTTTTAAAACTTAAACGGCAAAAATGTTGCCTTTAAAATGAATCTGAGTAGGCAGAAAAAGAAAAAAATAAGACATACCAGGAAGACAGGTTTTGGTGAAATTGAAAATCTTATTTCATGCTTGGTACAACTTAGAATCATTTTACATATTCTATAGTATAGATCCAAGCTTTAATTTGAAATGACCTTGACCCTTGAAATCCTAAACTTAACACTTCAGAACAAACCAGCCATTCTCTTCTGCTTTATGGGCTAAATAATAGTGAGTTATACTGTTTGGACCTTTGAACCACAGGACTAAGAGATAAAATGCTCTTTGATGTATATAAACACTAGGGAATACATTTTTATTTAATAAAAGGATGAGTTCATTGCACAACCAAAGACAAAATATTCCTCCTTTTCTGAAAATGCTCCCTTATTCCAAAGTAGTGGATTGCTTTTTTCCCACGGTGTCGGGTGGGTGGGATCAAGAGAACAGTTATATTCATTTCTCAAAATGCACTGTGGTGGGAAATTCAGAATGTTGTGAAGGGTAATAAACCTTTTACTTCACTGAAGCAGAAGGCTGAATTTAAAGCAGCAGGTAAAGGATGTAACAGCAACAGTACACATTCATTATCTGCAATCTTATAGGTGCCTAAATCTCTACAATGCATTACTTTAAAAGCTTCAGATCGATGGGTTTTATAATACCTTACCAATACTTTACCAATATTTCAATACCTGCAGAGTCTTAGCAAGCTAAACCCTATACTCTCAAATTTCAAATACGATCTAACTCAATCTTTTTATTTTTCAGATGTTCTCCCTCAAATTTCCACTTGTTTTTATCAATCAGTAAATGATAAAGAATTTCAGGTGCCTATCCACGAAGAAATGAAATTTTTATCTTTTTAGGAGCCCTAACAAATGAACAGAAAGGTGTCAATTCCAACATACTGTTATCAAAATATCCTCTTGGAAGAGAATGTTACAATTACTTAATCATCACACTTATCTGGCTTGACCATTCAAAGTGCATCCAAGCTTCAAAGCTAACCCTTAAGTAACGTCATGGTTGATAGCATCTAATTTCATGTTTATTCATGTTTAGCTGACGTTTTGAAGATGCAAAATGACCAAGACAAACACAGCTATTGTTTTGGCTATGGTTCTTCATCACTGCTGCTTTCCGGTGAAATATATTGCAGCTGACCCTCGGAGAGAGACTAAAATAGACGTGTTGCTTCTGCCTGCCCAGCATTCCTTCTGCAATATTCCTTTGGAGAACCCACCTAATCTAGACAGTGTGCAGCTAACACCAAATGCCTTTTCAGAGGAAGACAGCTGAATCCAATTTTACACAGGAGAACAGTCCCTTTTTTACATTCAGAAAGGGGCGGGCAACTCAAACTGCCCTTATAAGAAGAGCCCTGAGATTTTTGAGAAGTCGTCTCTCTTTCTTGCTAGGACTAAGTAGTAGTAGCATCTAAGGGGCTATCATTAGGAAACTTGTCTGAAAATGAAGCCCAAACCAGAAAACAGATCTTGAGAAATTCGATTAGTAGATCCAGCCGTATTTCCGATGGCAAGACGTACTCATAGGCTTTTTGCATTAACTTGATACTTAAACCAGTTTGAATATGCTTCCTTACTCGCAGCTAAAAGACTCCTGAGTCTAAAATGAGACAACACTAAAAAATAAACATGATGGCTTTTGAGGTTTCTAATGGATTTTCCTCCCTATATATATTACCTTATTTAATCCTCACAACTTGGGAAAGTAAATATCTATTAACATTAAATTAATATTCATTATCTTCTGAACACATACTATGTGGAAGAGGGATGGAGAATGCTAGAAGAGTGAACAACCTGAAGTTGGGTGACCACAGAAATCTCACTTATATGGGGAAAAAAAGTGGAGGTTACATATCTCAAGGCATTCAATAGATATTCATCAAACGGAAGATAAGCAGTATATAGCAGAGGCAAGAGTGCCATTGTTGCACTAATCCTTCAATGATAAATTAGGAAGCTCTTGAAATAACCCAGGCCACACAAATGAATGCCAAATAGGTAGCCCTATGAGAATGGTTCAAACAACAGGACAGAGATGGAGTCAAATTAGATGTGAGGGTCCCAGGTGGGTGCAGCTGTTGTCACTGGAACAAGAGAAGAAGGAAGGGGCAGAGTTTGGGAGGTGAGGAAGGAGACAAGGTATGGGTCAGTTAAACATGCCTGTAGGGTATATAAGCAAAAAGGTCCAGCAGGCCCCCAGGAGGGTAGGCCTGGGCTCAGAGAGGCTGAGATGGGAAATGCAAGATGGAGCATCACTGGCATATGGATGGCAGTTCAAGCTACAGCCTCGCCATGAAGAGAAGAGGAACAAGGAGCTGACGATCGACCCTCTCCAGGTAATCTCAGTCCTGCTTGTGAGCTCCATGAAAACAGGCTTTCCCGGACAGGGCCGGTCCTCAGGAAACACCTGTGAAATGACTGAGTGTAGAGTATACCGTTGGTTCTGCGGGAGTGCTTCTCCAGGGACCCTCTGCCACCGCAGCTGCCAGCTCTACTGGATGGCAGCTCTACTGGATGCTGGCTCATTATTCAGCCCTCACCTCTTAAATTAGTTCATGCTCTCACATTAGGTGTAATTGCGGCTAGCAACGCTTTCTGGGGATGTCTCAAAAAGACTGGAGTTGAAAAAAATATTTTTGTGTCTTTTTAATTTAAAGCAAAATAGTTGCCTCTTCCCCACCCCTTTCCCTTTCTCCTGGCAAGCTCAGCGGCCCTGACAGGACTCCAATCAGAGGCGGGTGTTGGAGATGGGGTTCCCTCCAGGTAATTCTTTAGACAGCTATCAAAGTCTCAAGGAAACAAAGGGAGCTTGAGAAGCTGAAAGGCGTGGCTACTGGAGATTCCAAGACAGGTTTCCCCGCGTGGGGGAGCGCGTACCCTAGGGGCGGCAGACCCCACTGGTGGCAAACCCTGAGGTTGAAAGGAAGTGCAGTCAGTCCGCGCCCCCCCAGGTCTTGCCAGATCTCTGGGCTTGCGCCCGGCCCCGCCTGCCGCACGTCGGCTCTAGCTCCGCTGAACACACAGATTCAAGGTCGCCCGGGGGTGACCGCAGCGCTAGGTGCCCCGGTGGCCAGCATCCCCACCCGCCTCTGCTTGGGGTCCGGAGCCGGTGATTCTGCTACCAAGAGGTCCGCTCGTCCTTCTGCTTCCTCCTGCGCTCATCCTTCAGGTCTCCCCCCACCGGCTCCTCGGGCTGCAACGAACCCTTTCTCTTACCCTCTCCGCCGCTCCCTTCTGCCTGCTACTTGGCAAAACTGTATCTTTGCTTCCTACGCGTGTGTGTAAAGTTTTAACCCAATGCATGAGACAAAAATTCTTGTAGGGTCGAAATGACTCTTGAAAAACCGCCCATAAATCACAGGATTTGGCGTCTACACGCAGTGCTGACGGGCAGGTACACGTGGATAAAACTAGCAGTAAAGGGGCACAGTACATAAAAAATGCGGATGCAATATTAAATTGCAAGTGCAAAAGAGAAAATGCGACCAGGCAAATGAGACTCCGTGCGACGCCACTGTACTTGTCACTGCCTACAGTGTCGGACTGTAAAAGGCACGAAGGCAGGCCTCGTCTGCTTTGGTTCACCGCGGCATCCTCAGCGCCCGCCCCAGTGCCTGGCACTTCGTACACATTCAATGATCTATCCCGAATAAACGAGCGAAAGAAGGAAGGAATGCACACTCAGTGGGACTCCGCGGTTCGACTGGCCGAACTCCATCGCAGTGGCCGTGGGCCGGGGAGACGGGCGTTGAAACTGGTCTGGAGTCCCCCAAGCCGGCTCCCCACCGCGGCACCTGCACCTCCCCTGGAGGCTACCGCGCACGCCCCTCCCCGTCCCGCCCTGCCGCGCACGCACGCGCCCTGCAGCCCGGCCGCCCAGCCAGCTCGCCGGAGCCCACCCGCGAGCCGGCTGCCCCTCCCGCCTGCGCCCGCTGGGGGGCGCTCCCCTCCGACCCCGCGCGCCCACACGCGGGCGCCTCTCGCGCCTCTGATTCTATTCCCGACCCGGGGCGCGCGCGCCGCCTCCTACCTGCGGGTTGGCCATTGGAGGCGGGCGGAAGGGCTGAGGGAGCTGAATAAGACGCTGGCAGGAGGCGGGAGGAGAAAGAGCAAGCGGCCGCGGCGGACAGTCCGGGCACGGGCGCACGGGCGCGCGTGCGCGCGCGCGCGCGCGCCCAGTCCTCGCTCCCACTGTCGACTCCCGGCCAGAGCCCAACCCTGCTGCCGCGCGCCGCCCGCCTCGCCGCGCCTAATAACAACGGCGCCCGGGGTCAGGTGGCCGCGCGCGGACAGGGCCGCCATTGGCTCAGCGGGGAGCGCGGCGCGTTAGGATTGGCTGGGGGGCGGAGCCTGGGCCAGTGCGGGGGCGGAGCTGTAGAGGGAGGCGGGCTAGGAGGCAGCGGGGGCGGGGCCAGGCGGCGGTCCGCGCCTTTGTGCCAGGCGCGCGCTCTCCGCCCGCTCCGGCTGCAGCGCCGGCTGCATCAATAATTCAGAGCGGCGGCGGTGGCGGCAGCGGCGGGTGCGAGCAAGAGGCGGCGGAAGCTGCGGGGACCGAGCGGTAGCGGCTATGCATCCAAGTACGGCTGGGCAGCCGCGGCACCCCTGAGGCCCGGGCGGGGCTCCGGGAGCATCGCGCCGGGGGCACGCTTGCCTCGGAGTGCAAGGAAGAGCAGTAGTGTCCGGAGCGGCGTCTGCGAAGCTGCGCACGGAGCTGAGGAGGGGGCTTCGGAGTGGGGCTGGGGCGGGGGGGGCGGCTCGCGCAAGCACCCCCCGGGGGGGGGGGGGGGGTGGGCGCCGGCGTCGCGATGCTGGGCGTCGTGGAGCTGCTGCTGCTGGGGGCGGCGTGGCTGGCGGGCCCGGCCCGCGGGCAGAATGAGACGGAGCCCATCGTGCTGGAAGGCAAGTGCCTGGTGGTGTGCGACTCCAACCCCACGTCCGATCCCACCGGCACAGCTCTGGGCATCTCTGTACGCTCTGGCAGCGCCAAGGTGGCTTTCTCTGCCATCAGAAGCACCAACCACGAGCCGTCCGAGATGAGTAATCGCACTATGATCATCTACTTTGACCAGGTGAGTGCTCCGTGCAGATTGGTTTGCCGGGTGGAGGAAAGGTAGAAGGTTGATGCTCGATCCACTCCAAGGGTCTGCAGAGGCTCGGGGACAGGAGTTCGTGACTGACTCTTATCTACTCCCCTTCGTTCCCGTCTCGTTATAGGTACTAGTGAACATCGGGAACAACTTTGATTCTGAACGCAGCACTTTCATTGCCCCGCGCAAAGGGATCTACAGTTTTAACTTCCACGTGGTTAAAGTCTACAACAGACAGACCATTCAGGTCAGCCACCGCCTCAGGGTCAGGCCCCTACCGGGTAGGGGGCTATTAGCCCCAGGAATGAGCGGCCCCTATGGGGGTGGGAGATAGAAGGAGCAGCTGCATGTGTCTGGGGTTGCTTGGTTGGACGAGTAGCAGGGCCTCACAGTTCTGAGGCTTGACCTGTCTCTTGCTTTTTTCCCGGCTCTTGGAACCTAGTCTCCTTCCCACACACAGTTTCCTGCCTTCACCTTCTGGGCCTCCCCAAAGAGATTCTTTCCTTTTCCACGGGACTGCAGGGATTTCCCATAGCGTTTGCCGGTTAGCATCAGAGACCGTTCCCTCTTTCCAGCGGCTTTCTGCGACTCTCACCTTCAGCACCACAGACTGTATCCCCATCTCCTGTCCCAGCTCAGAAGTCTGGACTCCCATGTGTTTGCCTTCAGCACCGAGCTCAGGGGGGATCCTGGCATCCCTTTGGGGATGGACTCTGGATTTTTGAACTACCAGCACCAGAGCCCAAGCGGTTGAAGGGTGGAGAAAGAGGGGGGGGGGTGTAGTGCTACTGCCTCTGGGCTCCAGCCTCGCTCGAGCCAGCACTCGCCGGCTCTCCAGGTTCTGAAGGTGTCCAGGTTTCCTTTGGGCAGAAACGGAAGGCGGGACGCCCAGCTGGGGAGAGGGCACCCGGCCTCTGGCTGCTGATGCCACGGCAAGGGCAAAAGCAGGCAGTGGCGGTACGGCTGGATCTGGGATAGGAACTGAGCCCCGGTTTGGGGAGCAAGCACAGAGTGCAGCTCTGGGGAAATTTCTCATCAGCCAGAACCCTTGCCCAGCTTCTCCACTGTCTCCACAGTGTCCAGGCAGCTAGGACCAGGAGGAACCAGGGTTTTTGTTTTGTTTGTTCTCCCAGAAACTCCAGTTGCCTGCATTTCTCTTTGAAGAGGGGATGGGGGGGCAGGGGGAGACAAAAATATCAGGGCACTCCAGCCGCCTATGGGTTCATTAAACTGGATAAAAGAGTGCAGTTGGGATTTGCTTGGCGAGCTCAAGGAATGAAAGTGACTCTTTTGGGGGGGGGGGCAGCCCCTTCCTGTCCTCCAGTTTGGCTGTCTTTCACCCCATTGGACCCTCAGCAGTAGGCTGAAAAGCCCCTTTATCTACCCCCACCCCTTTCCACCATGTTTCCCGGCCTTTCTAACTGTGAGCCAAGCAGCGAAGGTTACAGTCTTCACGGCCACTTTGGCACGCGCCTGAAGCAGGCCTTTCTCTTTCCCAGGTAAGCCTCATGTTAAATGGGTGGCCAGTGATTTCAGCCTTTGCTGGTGACCAGGACGTGACCCGGGAGGCTGCCAGCAACGGAGTTCTAATCCAGATGGAGAAAGGCGACCGAGCATACCTCAAGCTGGAGCGGGGGAACTTAATGGGGGGCTGGAAGTACTCGACCTTCTCCGGATTCCTGGTGTTTCCCCTCTGACTGGCTCATTGCCGGAATGGAGGCAGGGAGAGGGCGAAGGCAGGAGGAAGGCAGGAGGGAGAATGAGAAAGAGGCTGAAATTTAGAGGACGAGAAAGCCGAAGGACTTGAAACTTCCTACATGTTCCCCAGCTGTATCCGGGTAAAAGGTGCGCTCCGGGGGATCGGACTACTCGGTCCGTTTCCTCATTAGGAAAAGTAAATTCCGCTTAGCTCTGCGCACTCCCATTTCCAAAAATAAACGCGTTTCCCCGATTCCGGTTGAAGTAATCAAGAAAGAGAGACTGCCTTGTCATTGTTTCTACCCCCATGTTCCTATTCCTTATAATTTATACAAAAGAAACTGTATTTCACTGTATAACGTGAAGTATCTTCCTCCTCACTCCCCTCTGACTCTTTCGACCTGCTGAAATCTAATATGCCTCTCCCCTCTTTTTAGTTTGGAGAGGGGATAAGGTTTTTGTTCTTTTTTTGGGGGGGTTGTTTGTTTGGTTTTATTTTGAAAGGGGGAGGTAGTTTTAATTTGGCAAATATTGCTCTTAAAACACAGCTCAAGAGTTAATTAGCTGAACATACTTTGTGTCCTCCGCTGCTTGTTAGCAGAGAAAGGACTCACCTTCGGGGTGACTGGTTCAAAAATATATATAAATATATATCATTTGTATTCAAGGAACTCTTCCCAGTGGAAACTGGCTGTATTTCCGTATTTCTATGTCCTATTCGGAGTGATCGTGAAAGGCTGCTTGATGTCTTGATGCTTGTCAATGCCCTCGTGTTCTGTGGCTCACTAAATGCCAGGAGGTTCTTCCGCCGGACGCTTCCTCGTCCTCTGTAACATACGTGTGAATAGCCAAGATTTAATTTTGCTTTAACCCAATAAAGTTGAAGTGGGACTTTTATTTTTCTGGAACAGCTTTCTAAACTCCGCATCTTTCCCAGCTGCGAGGTTTGGGGGCGGGCTGTGGAAGGGCGAGGCTCGGAGGCGCGGGAAGTCGACTTGGTGAGAACGCAACCCTCGGTGAGAACGCAACCCGAGAGAGGCCGGGGGCTCGAGCGCATCCTTGCGAAGCCAGCCCGCGCTCCTTTCTGCACCAGGCCTAGAGCCAGCCCCGCATTCGCCCGTGCTCTCTGCTTTGGCCGAAATCTTGCGAGGCCCGGCGCCACTACCGGCCTGGAAGCGAAGTTTGGATTTTTTCGAAGTCCAAATGCATCAGGGAGAATCCCAATTCGAGGAGCCGGCACGACTCCCACGCCTCTGCCCCTGGATTTCCCCAGCTGTCCGCCCCACAGTTCCGGGAGCAGCGTCTGTTTTATACCAGCGCCTCTGAATTCGAGTCCGCCCGCCGTATTACCGGGGCGCCCAGGACCTGCGATTGCGCTCAATGCAGGACTTTCATTCAAGAGGTTCGTCCAGGAGTTTTGATTGTATCGGAACATATGTGAAAGCAAAATTGAAATAAACGACTTCGTTTTAAGTCTGGAAGTCTGACCCAGTCGCTTCAGCAGCGAGGGAAGTAGGGTGCCAGAAAGCGGGTGGCTCCAGGGGCCTGGGGCAAGACTCTGGGCTTGGATAGGCACCTCTGGCTTTGATCCTTTCAGAGTTTTTTGTTTTTTGTTTTCCTAGTGGAGGTTCAGGGGTGGATTTAATTAGCTCCTGAGGGGTGGAGAAAAGGGGGTAATAATAGCACAATAAGCCATGTTTCTCCTAATTCCTGCCGTTCCTCTGACGGAAACTCGCCAAGCGTGGGGCCTTCCTCTAAACGGGGACTTGTTCCTCCTCCGCGCTCGAGCCAGGGTGCCCGCATCCCTAACCCCGTGCTCCGAAGCTCCAGCAGCCCGGGGGTCCCCAGGGAAATAGCTAGGGACTTCAGGAGTGAGCAGTACTTTTCTCCCCCATCCCACAGTTCTCCCCCATAGTCAGTTCCCAGGGAATTAGGGATAAGGTGCAATCCAGAACCGTAGAGAGAGTTAAAAGGAAAAGCTGTTCTTTTAAAAAAGGAACATATGAAAAAAAAAATGCTTTCTCCGCATTCTTCCTGTTGGGAGGGAGAGATCACGCAGAACTGGAGTCTTGGGGGGAACTAGCTCCTTGCAACCACTCTGTCCCTGAACAGCCAGTCCGCCAGGCATGCACCCACAGCGCACCAGGTGCTCTCTTCTCCCCCTAGGATGAGGGCTCACGGCCCATGCCGGTTGCGTAGTTACAACCCAAGGAAGCAGCGCCCCTAATGCGATGTCAGCGCCCTTGTGGTGGCCAGTCGCCCCTCTTCCTGGGGAGGGTACCCCCAGCGTGCCTGTCCCGGCTGTGGGACTACCAGGCTGTGCTCCAGTTGGGTGACTTTGGCAAGTTCTCCTCTGGCCTCAGTTTGCCCAACCGTATAAAGACAAAGAGGAATTAAAAAATCTTCAAGAATCCCTCCTGCTCTCAGATTCCAGCCGTCCTCTGTCTTGAACACAGGCCTGCAGTTCTTTGGCCTGGGTTTAACGAGCCCTGGCTGTCCTCTGCTCGGATCTGGCTCCTGGGGGCCGTCTCCGGAGCGATAGGCCTGAGGCTGGGATGGAGGCAAAGAGGAACTCGGGCTCACCCGGAGCCGGAGCCCCAGCTCTGAAGCCTGGAATGTGAACCAGAAGGGAGCAAGGGGGCCCCAAGTGGGACAGACAGGGGGGAACTTATACCTTGATTCTGTCCTGGCTCCAGCCGAGGAAGGGCCCCTCTCTTCCCCAAGGTCTGATTTTTGGCATTAGAGATCCTTCTCAGACTGGCTCTAGCCACCTCTTCCTCCCCCTGCTGATCCTTTCCCTTTGCCATTCGATGAGCCCATCTCCCACTCCCGTCTTCATGCCTCTGCACCGGCTGTTTCTCTGCTCAATTGGAAACACACTTTCTCTACGCTACTTTTCAGAATCCTTTCTGGGGATCTAAGCCGTTCGAGGAAGAACCTGCCTCCTCTGGGAAGCCCTTCTGTAGCTGCTTTTCCAGGATTCACTCCCCCTTCTTGCTCTCCTACCAGGCCTTGTTGGCACTGGTTGGCAAGGGAGATATCTGGGCCTGGGCCTGCCTCCTGCTCTGCAGTGTGTGACAGGGATAGTGGTACCCACTTCAGCAAGCTCTCAGAAGTGCTAAGCAGGCAGTTCTGCTCCAGAGGCCCCAGTGGAAATGTGGGTTTCTCTACCACATCCCTCCCCAAACTGCCCTTATCTTCAAGCCTGAGTCTCCCGTTAGACTGAGCAGAGATGCGGACAGCTCTCCCCAAGGACCTGGAGTTGGAGTTAGAGGCCTCATTGGGGCTGGGTCCTTGTCAGTTGGGCCACCTCCCTCACCTCTGGGATAGAGGTGGGCGTGATCCTTACCTGTGCCAGAGGCAGGTGAGTCGACCTTCATCTGAAAATTGTGCTCCAGCTGAGAGGGAACCAGACACCCCTAACTGGTGTGTTGGGGACTGAAAGGGACAGAGAAAAAAAAGGCCAGGGGCTCAGTAGAGACTACATCCCTGTCCCCAACTAGAGGCTAGGGAGGGGGCTCATCTTAAAACCTACACCTCACCATGGTTCCCTTGAATGCTTAGAACCCTGTAGGCCCTTTCAGATCTTGGCCCTGTCTCCTGCTTTCATTTCATATAAACCTGATCAGAATAGAGCCTGTGGGGGTTCAGGGCCACCCCCTCGTTCAGCCTCCCTCTCAAAAGTCTCAAAGACTCCTCCCCTGCCCAGGTCACCTTGGTTACTTCCTCCTCTCCTGCCTCCTGGAATCCTTCCTCACCCTAGAGAAACAGAGTGATTACCCCTTCCTGGCCTCCCTCTTTGCAATGTGGTCTCTCTTACCTTCCCTCCCCCAGCTCCCAACCTCAGTTTCCTGCGGGCCTGCAGCAGGTTGGGTTCTGGTGTGTGTGGTGGGGTGGGGGAGGAGAGGGAGGCTCAAGGAGGTTTCTAGGACCTAAGGAGCCAGACCTGACTTCCAGGCCCGGGTTTTCCTGGAGGCGCAGAGTGCGGGTGGGAGACTCCGGGCCAGCGCTGGATCGCTGGCTAGAAGCCGGGGTCACTCGCGTGTGCTGTCTGGAGCGGCGCGGCGCCGGGCTCTGCTAGGTCCTGCACGGGGCCCCTAGCTCGTTCACTCGCCCGCCGCGGCTTCCACCGTCCCCAGAACTGGGAGCGCGCCCTCAGAGCTGCGCTGGAGGGCTGATGCTCCAACCCCGGGTGGCCCCGCTCCTAATGAGAACATAATTACCCAGCTGGAGAGGGAAACTCACCCCACACTAATTGTGCCTTGGTTGGGGGCAGGAGCGCGGAGCGAAGGGGCGGGACGCTTCCTCGGGTCCCAAGCGGGGTCCTGATGTCCCAAGAAGGGGTGGGGATGGCGGAGGGAAGTGGTCCTTGGGCCAGGCGGACCGCGTGGAGAATGAGAGACCATGAGCTGCAGGCGCGGCCCTTTACTCCGCCCCTGGCTTGATGTGCTACCCGAGACTGCTGTCCTCGCCTGGCAACCTCCGTGTCTGAACCTGTTCCCTCAATTCCCAAGTGCGAGGGGTAGGCTAGATATCTAGGGTTTGCTCCGAGGTATCTTTTCTGATCAACGCGTCGGTGAGTCTAAGCCTTCCGCCTCGCCCCATCCCGCCATATAACTCCAGGCGTGCGCTTGGCCCAGTCCTTGTCACCCCCACGGACTTTCAAACAAAACTGAAACCTATTACCGACTCTGACTCTGCGGGAAGCCAGCAGTACCCTGTGACTCTGAGGTCAAGCCTGGAGGGAAAGCACAGGTACACCTCCCTTTGAGCCAATTTAATTCGGAGGAGAAGGTTTCCCAGGGGCGATTACAAAGATCTCTTGATCTTTTTGCACAGAGCTTCTCATTGAAGATACATCCGCACTGTCTCTGAGCCTCAGTTTGCTCATATTTCAAATGGGGATAGTAATGCCTTCACAACAAGGTGGTTGAGAAGACAATGCTAAAATGTGTAAAAATACTCAGCGCTGCTCTAGCCCCGCCTATAGTAGGTGCTGAATAAATGATAGCAACAGTATAGTAAGCTGAATAAATGATAGAAACAGTAAGGAGGAGTGGACACCTGGGGCGTCATCCTATCACAGAAGCAGGACATAGAGGAAGATCCGTGTAGATCCCTACATGAAGTAAATTATAGAACTAAAACCAGATAGAGAGAGGAACACAGAACACATGAATGGTAGAATTAGGATCCTATGTCCTTTCTTTTCCCTGCACACCTGTCTCCCCCACCTCCACCCCCCAGTCAATAATGAGAACAGATACCTGTCTTTCATCTCCATCCCTGTTGCTCATATATTTGCATGGGGCCACTATGGATGAATATTCTCTGGTTGCATGTCTGAATGCTTCCCCCATTAGGGCATGAGCCCTGTTCCCGTGTCTGTTTTCCTTTAAGGGCGAGTCCCTCTAAGGTGGGTACTGCATTCTGATCATCTCGTTTGGCCCAGTGCCTCTCATGGTGCCTGGCGCAGAACAGGTGTCTGTGATG